AAAGTGGGAGAACATTTAATTTTCTTATCTTCTCTGTAAAATTATCATAATTTTTATTATCATAAATAATATTATTTGACCAAATATTTATATTTTTGGTTGATTTGAACTCATGTTGGCTTTGAAAAAAAAAACAACAAATTTTCTACTATTTTACTGGGCAAGCAACTATGAAAAAATGATCCTAATCATATTTTTTGTATATTGACCTTAAGCATTTATTTGATCAGTATCATAGATTGGGTATCGGATAGCGATAATAGCTAGACATTTTAGTTAAAATCTGTGACTTCCTACTTTTTCGTTAACTTAAAAAAAATCTTACTACTAAATATTTTTGGATTTATGTTATTCCTCATTATTATGAATGGTAGGATGAAAAATTTAAACATAAATGCTGAATGTTGGTTTATAATATTTATACAAATAAATTTATAAAAATGTGTTTTAGTGGATGAGTCAAGTGCCGAGAACAGATCGATCATAAAATTATTCATTTTTTTATTTTCTCTTGAAACGAATTTGATAGTTAAATCTATAATAATGGCTGCTCCAATCGGATTATCAAACATGTTTTAGGAGGAGAAAAAATGGCGAAATTTTTCTTCTTCTATGTACTCATACGTGATCGATACTACTGCAATTAAGTTTAAGTCTTTGCTTCTCACAGAGTCATAATTACAAAATATATTCGCATTTTTCTACCAAAATTATAAAATATTTATTAAAGGTGATGTTTAAAAATAAAAACATGTCCTAAAACATAATTATAGAAAATTACATATTTTCAAAATTTTAACATAGATTCGATAAATATTTAAAAACATCTATAAGTTTTTTAATTTTACGAATTATTAAACCATGGTTTATTAATTTAAAATACACATCTTTTGCATACTAGAAACAAGGTGTTAACTTGCGTAGATATTCATTAAATCAACATCTTATATAGTTTGGCATGAAATATATCAATTATCACATAATGTGTTTGTTTTTTGCTCTATTAACTATGATAAACGAATAATGACCATGTTTTCAATTGATCAAGGCTATATTTGGGTCCTAAAAATATCTTTTATACAATTTACTAATTTTGTCACACATTAGCTTTCTAAGCCTAGAGTTACCAAATACTATTAGGTAAGGATAAATAAAATGCTTAAGAATAAGGAAAAGATAGGAGATCATGTAATAATCAGAGATGCAGCCTGTGTCGAAACGGTTTTCACTTTGAACGAATGACAATATGATAACTGGTATTAAAAAAAGGAAGGTAATCACGCCTTGAGCGTTTGCGATAATGGCGAAATTACGCAATTTTACTTTACTCCTAATACTTGCTTGATTACCTATCGATACGCTAGAACTCAAACCAATTTGAGAGATAAAAGATGCATTCCTAGAAGAATCCCTAGTGACAGGAATAACTTTGGGTGCTCTATATTTATCCTTTTTATATATAAGGCACCAAGTTTGTAAATTAAAGATCATTATGAATATGCAAGGCAGCGTGATAGCGATTACCAACGTAAATATATTATAGCCCTTGAAATAGATTTTAAATTTTTCATTCGCCCGAATAAAGTACTTGTTTTTCCAGATGTTTTGGCCATTTTTGGCTATATAAATATTCTTGCTGACAAGGAGCGGTAATGAGGTTATAAGAGATGCCACCAATATGGATAACATTATAAAGCCGTCCAGATTTGATTCTTCATCCAAGAATCGGTTTTTGTAAAAAATGGGATATTTGATGGCGATAAAGCCTCTTACCGACATCGCGACCATGAAAAAATGGGATAAAAACAAAAGATTATAAAATATAATTTGTCTGCATTTACCGATGAACACAGCTTCTAAAATATGCATTTCACTGGTAAAACAGTCATTGGGATCAATTAGGATCCAGTAAAACCTGAAAGCACTGACAATACATATGAATAAACTTATAACATGAATCCAGATCAAGTAATATCTACTCTGAACATTGTAAAGTTGTTTAAACGCTTTCCCATAAGAACCTTTAGTCATGGGCAGCAAAGCATAGATAACTAGTGCATTCCCCACAAATCCAACAGGAATCCATATATTTATGATGATAGGTAAAATCTTATAGGATAAGTTAGAAACCTTCCGATTTTCATGATAAGTGCCTAAAGAGGTGAAATTTCCAGTCGAGTCACTATCGTTAAGAATGGCAAATATGTAATCCATAAAATTTTTGTATATTTTTAAAAAAATATTATATGGAAAACTTAAAAAAAAAAATTATAGCAGCACTTAAAGATAAACTAATAAGTAATTTTATCAAAGAAATGAATTGCCTGTTTTTATAAAATATTTTATTATTATTTATTAAATACTATTAAAACCAGATAATTTATAATAATGCGCTAATTACATTTTCTAATTAATATTATTTATTTTAAATTAATATGGTTTGATATTTTTTTTCTATAATAATAAGAATTAATTAATTGCAAAAACAAATTTAATTGATGCCAATATTACGCTATCTAAAAAGGGTGAAATTGAAATAATATATAATGCATTATAGAAGGTCTGGCAACCTTGTCCAGAGTATTTAGAGTCGAATGCACTTTAATGAAACCGATTAAAATGAGTTAATTTCATTTGAGAAAAATAGATTAATTTGACTGAGACAGGAGATTTCAAAATGTAAAATAATATTCAAAGGTGTTATTTATACTAACCATGAATATATTCTAGTAAATTAGTAACAATGATGATCAAAAAAAATTTACAACAAATGAAATGGAAACTATGATTCTATATAATCTGGGACAAACTTTGGCTCTGAAAGATTAATTAATAATCGTATTTATAGAAAAAAAATCAATGATTTTTTAATTCATAAATTAGATCAAAATCTTGCAAGCTCATGCAAGAATCTTTTTTCTCTCTTTACTAATCAATTTATCGATTATGGTTATACATTTTAATATTATATGAACAAATATAAACCTTATATCATAAAAAAATATTTACCATATATCACACTTGCATAAATATACTAGAATAACAAAAAAAAATATATCTATATTGTTAAGTTAATGGTTTTGTGAGGATAGCATAGGTTTAACCAAGGGATTGGCAAAATTTTCTACAACATCGAAAATTTACCAATTCTCCTAAATAGCAAATATCACTTAAAGCTAATAATGAATTTTCTCTAAACACACCTCCCACCATGTATACAATATATAACTGTAAGCAGTTAATAAATTTTTAAAATAAATAATACAATTCAAAATTTTTAGAATGCATTTTTATATAAAAAAAGTATAATTTTTATAAAAATATAACAGAACCAAAGGTTCACAAACTCCCAATAAAATTTATCGAGGAAAACTAACCTTATAGTGACCCTCCCCCACCTATAGGAAGATCCTGGGTACACCTATAGAGGGTAGCGTTTTACCGATCATTATCATAGATTGATTGTTTTTTCGTTATTTATATACTAATTTTGAGTAGGTATTTTCTATATAATAATCATTTTTGAAATCATAAAAGGCTTCAAAAAAATATTCTTCCAGAGAAAAAGAGTTAACCAATAAAAATTTACAACATTAAAATCGTAATACGCTTTAAGAGAGGAGTTATTTTTGCATTACTTTATATTTATACTATTTCAAAATTAGCTAGTCTAACCCTTACATAATCTACATATGAATCAACCGAATATCATATTTTGACTGCGTGCATAGTTTTAGGGACAGATGATTACTAAATTAAATTAGTCTATTGAATGTAGTGAATAGTTCCTCTATAGCAGATTCCCAGATTTAGCAAATTTTAGAATCGTGAACTGGAGGATCTGGGACGAGGTGTAAATTTACAATTTTATAATCGGTTTTAAGGAAATATTAGGTAAAAAATATATCCATTTTGGATTAAAAAAAAATTATTAGTGTCTATATTAATATTTTAATGGCGGGCCATTAACCTCAATTGCGGGAGAAAAATCTCCTTGAAAAAAAAATAAGCACACAGGCCTAAATATAAACACTTAACTTGTTTAGTTAAAATCAAAAGATGCTTATTTCCGAGGTAAATTTTTTTTATTACCGAACTACTCATATTTACCTATATCAATATTTTTTGTCATTAAGTAAAATATCTCATGAGTGAAAAATAATATAACCAGAATCCTTATTCACAAAATGGACGATTGGTCCGTCATCTGTCTCTTCTTTAACTCACCCCCCCCCTTTACTTGTTATCTGGTTCCTATAAAATGGAGTACATCTAAGGGGGGGGGTACCGTCTGTCAATATCCATTTTGATTAAACTATTTTATATAGTTATAGGGGAGATGGAAGTCTAGAGAGCTTCGTCGATCATATAATCTTTTTTCTAAAAATAGTAGTTTCATATAGAGATTATGTTTTATTATCCGCTAGGCAAGCAGATATAGTGCTTAAATGACAATGTTATAGGATAAATATTTAATAATTATCAAGTGTAATAATGAGAATCATTTTTGGCGCTAATGCTCTAACGACAAGCTATATCGAAATTGATTTAAATATTTTGGACAGAGTTTAGATACTGAGCTAGAGGGTTTCAATTTCAAGAATTTTTTTAAGTAGAAGTTCAGGTTCCTAAATTTTGAGAAGATATTTTGTTTCTTAGATTTGACGTGGTTTAAATTGTTGTTGCAAAAGATAATAAATCTAAATTATGGATTTTGTTTATAATTATGAGAACTAATTAAAGGTATGAGTGATAGGGCTTTTAAATTCTATGCGCATGATGATAGTGAAATTTCGGGAAAATAGATTTGAAAGCAAACTCAGTTTTACCCGTCTATACACAAAGCCAAATACTTTTCGTTGTAACTATTATTTAAATTAAAAAAAAATAAATTATTTATTTAATATCATTAATAATTTATAATATAAATAAACTATTAAATCTGACTTTAATTTTATGTCAAAACACAATATATCATATATATTATTTTAAATAACCCTTAAAGTTTCAAAAAAAAATTAGCAAAAAAAATAAAATAAATCAAAATATATAAATCTTTGACAAAATATATGAGCTTTTGTGCATGATATAAAAATGTGTATAAAAATTTTTTTTTTAGGCGAATCATTACAATAAATAAAAATTTGGTATTTTGAATAAAATAATAATTAAATATATTTCAAAAAATGTATATATTATTCGAGATATATAATACTAAATAAGATTTAAAATAACTGCATTTAAAAAATTGGAATTTCAATTAATATTTTTATTTTGAACAGAAATTCAGTTTTTTATGATTGATTTTTTATACGACTAAAGATTTCTCTAGCTATTATCATTCTTTGAATTTGTGACGTGCCTTCATAAATCTTTGAAATTTAAAAAAAAAATTTATTCAAATTATAAATATTATTCAGAAATTATCTAAATATTGTCACTCTAACAATGTCTACAAAAATATTAAAATTTAGTGGATGCTATTTTTATGAAATAATTCTAATAAGAACTGCAAAGGATAGGTTATTTAATGAATTATATTTTTCAAAAAAAATATTTTACTTGAAAAATTTTAGCATCTCTCATCAATTTTTCTACTGGATATTCTGAGTTAAATCCGCACCCACCAAAAATCTGAAAAAAATATTATATCTTTTTTAATATTAAAATTCGTTGGCAAAAATTTCAAATGTTTTTTCATTTCTTTCAAACAACTTAAATCAAAAATAACTTTTTTTTGAAAAAAAAATATTCCCAGAATGCATATCTCTAAGGCATGCTATGGGTAACAATATTTTATCCATAAAAATATTACGCATGTCTGAAGATTTTGCTCATAGATGGTACAGAAAGGTTTGGACATCTATTAGCAAAATCTCGAGGCCTAGGTAATATTTTTTTTAGCTAAAATATTGAGTTAGTAGTTTGAAAAATCGGTTCAAATCGAACCGTTTAACAACAGTACTAATAAGGCATGTATTAATTTATAAGAGTGAAAATCTATTTTCAATAATAAGCAGTGTTTGATTATTTATTTCTAAGCTATCATATTTGGAATAAATTTTCTAAATTCACTAAAATCACATTAGCAAATTGTTTTAAAGACCAAAAAATGTACCCTTTTATTTTTGTTTTAAACATAATATTATTCAATTATTTATTTAAATTATCTAATTTTAGGTTATAAATTTGAGATGTTCTTAACATTTCTATGGTTTTTTCATATTATTTCTAAGCTATCAATAATTCTTATATTTATCACTATAAATAAATTATCTTATGTTATAATTATTGTAAGTTTCTACATTTCTATAGATTTAAACAAACTGTAAATTTTGTTACAAAGAGTTTCAAATTATATTTTATTAACTAAAATACTTAAAAATAAAGTGTATATTACACATAGAATTTATTATTCTAGGTTGGTATAACCATAATTCATTACTCTATATAAATGGGGAGGGATGGGTATTGTGCCCATATGGTGCTTTAAGAACAAGTAAATAAGACTTTTGAATCAAAAAGAGTTTCAAAAATGCTTCATGTTGGATATATAAATGATATTTAAGGGAGTTAAATTTCACAAACTCCCATTACAAGAATACCGTTGAATAAATAGGAATTTAAGACATTTAAGCAAACGTTGCCATATTATAAGTTTAGTGTTGTTAAATATCCCGATGTGGGTCGATTTTAAAAAAATGGCCCGATTAAGATAACAACCAAAATAATGGAAGCCTGGAGATTTACTAATAGGTAGCAGAAAGGTTTGGACATCTGTTTGCCAAAATATCGAGGCTTACATATCTATTATTTTGTAAAAACTTGATCGGCCATATTTAAAAATCGATCAATTATTGGGCTTTTTAATAACACTATAAGATAATTAATTAGGGTGTCCTAAAATTATTGTATTTATTCTTTCCTTCCAATTTGCCCTTATTTTTGAAGTTATAAACATTCCAATATCAGTTTTGAATTTATATAATATATTGTATACGAATACGCACCTGAACTGCATTAGAAGCGCATTCGTTGGCAATATCCGAGGCATATGCCTTAGCAATTGAAGCGTAAAACGTATTTCTACGACCCGAATCGATTTCAAAAGCAGATCTGTAGGTTATTAATCGGGAAGTCTCGACTGCTATGGACATATTGGCTATCATAAAGGCGATAGCTTGATGCTTTAGGTGTTTTTGGTTAATGATTATAATGTTAAAAGGACATAGCATTTTTTTATAAATAGCGGGTGCCAGTCAAAAAAAAGAATTAAATTCTTTCTGAGTATAAAAATATTTTACAGTCCGGGATGTAAAGATCTCTAATCTTGATTGAACACTCACAATAACACAATAAAACAATTCTACATAAATTATCAAATTTTTTGACCATTTATCTTTTTATCTTAAATTTAAACCATTTAAACTACGAGTGTTGTTAAAAGTTACTTCTGGAAAGTAACCAGTTACTGATTACATCATAGGTGAATCCAGGATCCTCCTATAGGGGAAAGACATATTAGGTCGGGTTTTCGGCCATATATTTTATTGGAGGTCTTGAACAAATAACTATATTAATCTTTCTCTAAGGGAAAGGGTGAGTGTAAATAAAATAGGGTTCAAATTAATAAGATCCTATAGTAATATACCTCGGCTATTGGCTTTCCAAAAGCCTTTCTTTCGGTAGCATATTTACTAGCTTCGTCGAAGGCTCTTCTCGCCAAACCTACGGCACCAATGGCAACCTAAAACCCCCGCGAAATTTTTTTTAAAGAAATATAATTTTATTTATGAAATTTTTGATTTAGATGACGACAAAAAAATGTCAATTTTATCGATAAATTAATAAATTTTACAATGAAATGAGAGAGAGGTATTGTATTGCGGAAGTGTAATACTGAAGCTCATTTTTAAAGCTTTAAAAAGGCTTAGAAGCCAATTTTTGCACTAAAAAAATAAATATAAATTATTTTTTAGAATTTTTATGTTTTATCTTAAACTGCAAACTCACCCCCCCCCCCCCTTAAAAAAAGTAGAAGTAAAACAATTCATTCAAAAATTGTGGTATTGGCCAATGGTACCGGTAAAAGATAAATAGCAGATTTATAAGTGTAACAAAAGTTTAATCTTGCAAAGGTGATAGTCAAACTTTTATTCTAAATGATTCAATATCTTTATAAACTATAAGTCAATAGCACATAATTGCAAATCCACAATATTATATATGAATGAGCGATCATGTATCTATTCCGCGGAATGTTATAATTAGCGATGCAAATCGCTCTATTTTGGGCCAATTTTAAAAAACGGTGAAATCAGTATTTTGTCCAGAAAAATATAACGCAACCCCGAAGATTTTGCTCATGGATAGCACGAAGGTTTGGACATCTATCAGCAAAATCTCGAGGCATATTTTACTGACTAAATATTGAGATAGCCATATCGGCTCAAATAAAGCGAGATTTTGTATCACTAGTTTTACTAAATAATAATTGACATCGACAAACCCAAAATAACTCAAAAAAGTCAATCACCGACAATAAAATAATAATTACAAATTATATATATATATTTTATTAAAACTGGTGGTCTTGTGTTGTCAAAAGCGGTCATAGCGATTTTAAAGCCGATTCCTTCTGCCCCTAATATATTCTAAAGAAAGAGTTATAAAAATTTAATATGCAAAAATAGATTTTTAAAAATTCTAGAAGCGAATTCTGGTTATTTCGTGGAATTAATTTTTTTTTTTTAAAAATTAAAATTTTATGGTGTCTCTTCTTCCCTATTCACATAGAAAAAATGGCTGTACAACCTCTAAAAAAAGCGTTCAGTGAAAAATCTCTGTACCAGGTAGTTCGGGTTCAAGTGGGTTTGAAGGGTTCGAGGTCAACAAATATAAAAGTGCATGCTATAAGAATAATTGTAGATAATATTTGCCAGTCGGTAGGGTAGGGTCAGGAATGTCATGATTTAAGCATATTTGATAATTATGTGAGTATTGAGGGGGGGGGAGGTTACAAAAATGACATGATAGCAATTATTTTTATCGATTAAGAAGTAACCCAAAATATTTTGTAGCGACTGTTTATGTTTAACTAAAAAACTTTAAAAAAATTTATACATAAAGTTTCAACCAAACTCCTGCCCCCCCCCCCCAAAAAAAAATCTGAAATAAATTTCAAAAACTGGGTTATCTGGGGGATCAATAATCTTGGTTGATCAGCTTATTTAAATGGCGGCTCTTTCACTGTAAATATACATATTAAATTTATAACTTCTTGAGGTATGGCTACGTTTTCAAAAGTTATGGCACGTGTGTCGGAAGCTCTTTGACCCATGTTCAATTCCTTAGAGTTTTGTATATTGATATTTAAGAAATGATTGTATTTTATTTAAAACTAGTATTGTTAAAGGCTCGATTTTTTTAATAAATTAGCCAAAATATTTTAGGCAATCTTGAAGATTTAGCTTATAGCGGAAGAAAAGGTTTGGACAATCTATATAACGAAATCTCGAGGTTTACGTGATATTATTTTGGCTAAAAAATTTTATAATTAAATATCGGCTAAAAAGAGCTCGTTACCAGCTTAAACAAACGCATTTCCATTGAATTATTTTAAAATTTCATTTTTGAAAATATTTTTTAAAAAATGGATCTAATAATAATAATGTTTTATTTATCGCCCTTAAGCAACTTTGTAGATATCTGCTTTTAAATTTAAAAAATATTTATTATGTGGGATTGGATAGTAATTATTTCATAGGAAATTTTAATGTTCAAAAAAATCTTATTAGGTCATGTCCAAAATCCTTTTCTTTTTAAAATTCGAGAAGTTTTTAAAACTTTCGGAAGTGTTAAAGATTTTAATGAAATGGTACGCTAAGTTTTTGAAATCTTCAAAATTTTATATTAGACATGTTTTTATTTTTACATAAAAAAGAATTTATATCTTTTTTTTTTCGATAAGGTTTCAAAAGTTTGCGAATCAAATTTTTTTGATATTTTGGTCACAGTCTTAAGAACCTTTTTCGGAGTATACTTTATGTAATTCTTCTCTTCCACTAATTGCAAAAAAACCCGAAACAGAAAAATTAAAAAAAAACCTTTTTCCCGATAATTATGCCAGGCGTGTTCGAATCGATTACGAAACCGGAAAAAGCTTTATTAGCGGGAGCCGAAGGATCAGTTCTGGCAAGAATGAAATACCAATTAGCGACGCCGCCATTGGTTATCCACAGTTTTTGGCCGTTCAGTATGTACTTGTCCTTCTTTTTCACGGCCTTGGTTTGTATGCCCGCCACGTCGGAACCCGCTCCGGGTTCGGTTACGCAATAAGCCTACATGATGAGGAAACGTAAATTTATATAATAATGAAGTATAAACCGAAAATAATATCTCGAACACTTTCAAAAGCTCGTCGCTTGAGAATTAGAATATTCTATCTCCACTTTTTAAATTTAAAAAAATTAAGTTTCTATTGTCTTTAATAGGATGGTTATAAGTTATTTTAAAAATATTTCGGATTTTTTAATGATAATAGAATGGTATAATTATAAAAAAAAAATTGATTTGTGTAAAAAATGTCATTTTGACAAAATGTGGATATAGAATAATCTAATTCTCATACGATGAGCTGTAGATAGCTAGAGCTACTTTTTAAAAAAAAGCTTGTCTACAGCTAGAAGCTAACCTCATAAAGAAAAAGAAAGTTATATATATAACAGGCTACATTTTGGAATATTTATTTAAATAAAATATACTTAAAAAACAAATAAGAAGGGGGGGGGATGGAAAAAAGAGATCCCATTGAGATCCGAGGAAACTAAGATAGTGTCTTCGAAACACAATGATTTGAGTTGATTTTATCATTGTAAAGAGGATCCATGATCACCATTAATTTGAGAAATTTTTTTGCTTAAAATCTTAAGAAAATGATAGCCCACAAAGGGCCTAAGGTTCCATTAGTAGAAATGCCTATTGGAATAAAGTGAAAATCTAAAAAGTCGTGATAATTTCTCATTTTTGACCTTTCAGATGATGTAATAAGCGGATCGATGTTTGGGTTAGAGTAAAATTGGGAGACACAAGTGAAATCCCAAATAAGGCGATTTCCTCTAAACCAAGGAATGTTTGTGAGCCCATCTGGGCTTTTCTAATCAGACAGGATAAGTGAACGATTCCAGAAGGTTTGGGAACCTACTCTTTCCATCGTTTCCCTCCCTTTTATTATTAGTATTTGATTCGTAGATGTTTTTAAATCCACATTAGAAATAAAATTAACAATATAAAATATTATTACCATTTTTTTTATAAAGGGGCCTGTCATCCCATATATTTAGCAAAATTTCTTACGCCAAAAGAGATTTCAAAAAAAAAATAAATTTAGTAACATAAATGTAATCAAGTGGATTACAAATAATACCTTTCCTAGAGGAATTAATTAAGGAATTAATAAAAGAATACTGACAAATTAGATGACGAAAAACAAATATATGATCCTCCCCAAAAAAACATTTATCTCCCAAAATTTATATGAATTATCTAAAATTATTTTTAATTATCTATGACACAGGTAATTGTATTGAAAGGGGTTTCTTGTATATACTTATTTAAATAGTAGCTATAAACTAAATTATCTATAGATTTTATTAACTTAACACTAACACCATAACATTTTACCCTTCAATCCAACTTCTTAAACTCAGTTACCTGTTTTAATTTATTTTGTCCATTCAAAAAAAAACTTCGATAAACATTCTTTGAGATATTATCGAATTGTTTAAAGATAAAGTAAACTTGTTTTTAAACTTATTTATAAAAATAATTAGATAAATAAAAATGGCAAAAATCGATATTTTAATTTTTTAAAAAACTAAATACGAGAAAGGCTAACATTCTAAAATAATATTTTAAAAAAAATCGCCTTTTTTTTTCTTTCTTTCTCTCTCTCTTTCCTTCCTTCTTTTCGTCTCTCTTCCGTTAAACTAATTGTGGTTTACCATTTTTGAAGGTATATAAATTAAAGAGTGATAAAATAGATGGTTTCAACGTGTCAAAATAAAGTTTTAATAAGTATGACTACCATATTATTAAATATAGAGAAAGGGGGGGGGGATGTAATGATCATGTTTACAGCTGATTCTAGGTCTCATGAACTTAGTGCTCGCAATTTAAAATAAAAATTAAAATCGCATTAGCTCAGTCCACGTGATCGTTATGAAAAATTCATTAAACAACTGTGCGATGTGTCAAAATTTTTGAATAACTAGCATTTTTTAAAAATAATGTATTTTTGTCCTTCGAAAGCTTATAATGACAACCAACATTTTTTTTTCATTCCTCTAAAAAAAATTGTTTATAAAAAAGAAAACTTATAACTTTTTATGTAATAATGTTAGATTTGCGAGAAAGTTTTTGCATAACCAATTCCACTATTATACGTATATATAGTAATTCAGCTATAAATAAACTATTATTTTAATTATAGGAATATTTTCCTTGCCTTTTATTTTAATGCCCTGTCGTTATTAATCTCCTGCTGAAATTGTGAAACAATCCTAATTAAGTTAGCTAAGCCTTTTCCAATTGAACATCTAAAAAAAATGAAATATCAATCACTTAAAAAAAATCTTTATGTTAACTTAGAAAATAGAAGGTTTTACATAATTTGATTTTTGTTTTAGGCCCGTCCCAATAATATTTCTTATAAAAAAAAATTTTGCCCTCCTGATCCAACCGAACTTGAATTCGGAAGAATTTCTGATGACGCTATGTATTTCTAGATTTTCTTTTTGATTTCCTTATTTTTGAATACGAGAGGGTGGTGGTGGGGGTTAGGCTAATATCGTGATTGGCTTAGGGAGGGTGCAAGGGTGTCTGGAACAGGCTTAAAATAAACAAATCATTATTAAAAATATACAATAATTCCCCTTAGTATGTCTAACCCACTACTTTCACAACCCAATCCAATGTCCTCCGAAGAGGCCGAAGCACGCCCTCTTTACCCGGCTGGGGGCCAGCTTCCTTTGCAGGAGGCGTAGCCCCTTTAGTATATAATAAATAAAGCGAAAGATTTATAAAAAGCATTCGGGGAAAAAAAATTAAAATTTTTAAAAGCACTAATTAAAATAAAATAGGCAAAGCAGGGATGGGCATAATTACTCGAAAATTGTTATTAATTCCTAATTACAATTACACTAATTCCTTTTCTAAAAACGGTAAAAAGGATAATTGATTACTAATTTCATAATTACAATTCCTTATATATTAAAAAATTAAAGTAGGATTCGATTAATAATCACAAAAAATAACGAGAAACTTTAATGAATAGCGTATAAAATATAATTATAATAAAATTTTACTCGTTATTAATAAAAAATTCCTGTTTGAAAAATATAAAGGTTTTACTCGTTCAATATTACAATATCATATGACTAGATTATTATTTTTGATGCTATGAAATGCAATCAAATTCTGTGTTACAAAATGTAAGATCTATGATGTCCAAATAAAGATATTATGGGCATTAAAATTTTATGTTCTTTTACTATCCTATCAACAAATGATATTGAATATATTTTTAGTTAATATTTATTTTAAAAAAAACGAACAAACTTTTATCTATTTTTCAAACAGATCGTTATTTAAACGTGTTATACAATACTTATTCAGTAAAGTTGCAAAGCTAAATAATAGTCTAACGAGTGCTGATGACAACAGTGCTTTCGATTTTTTTATAACAAAATTTACAATTAAATCATTAGCCACTTGATGACTTATTTTGGGTGATTTAAAAAAACAAAATTCTGGTAAAGTTTGTTGAATATTTGCTTTTGATAAAAATTTGGATAATATTGACAATTTATTTCTGTAATTTTCAGATTCAAAATCACTCATTATGTTTCCACCAAAAAATATGAATGAAATTTTGCAATTATTAATAGTTTAAAATATAAATTTTCTTAAAAATTAATTAAATAAGAAAAGGAATATTATGAATTATGCCTGAAAAATAATGTGAGTAATTATAATTGCTACTTCTTCATTTAAGGTGAAATTAATAACAGTTAATAATTACAAAAAATGGCTTGTAATTATGGAATTAGCATGTAATTAATTGCTTCCCAACCTTGAGGAAAACTGATAAGGAAAAAGTTTTAATGAATAGATGTAAAAAATATTTCCATGAGTTTTCTAATCCTCATATATTACATTTAGATGAACACCCACTATGTCAAGATGCGATAATATAATAACTGATCAAGAAATATCATATGAAATACATAAAGTCTTGAAGAATAGAAAGTCTTAAGGTAGGGGAAGTTGAAAGAATACATTGCCTCACATTACTCTACAAAAAAAATATTGGAGCTAAGAGATTTCTTAAAAATGGAGGCAATGATCTAGTTCCAATATCTTACTGACTAAAATTAACAAAAAATTAATAGAAAAAAGGTGATACATAAAATATGGAAGACAGTTTGGCTTCATGCGTGGATGATGAATTAATGATATAATCCATGCAAATAAATAAATGAGGGATAAATAGAGGGATAGAAATAATTATCTCCATATGGTCTTTCACGATTTAAAGAAAGCTCTCAAACAATCCTAGAAAAGAGTATCTGGTTGACTTGAAGCAGTAAAATAAGGAATTACGAGCATCAAAGGTCATTACTCACACCCCCTGTTGTTTATAATAGTCTATCCCAAAAATATTAATAAACAATTTAAAATTTATCTGATAGAATATTTATTTTTAGCTGAAATTATTTGGAATACAATGTTTGATTATTTAAATAAAGACACAATATTATAAAATAATCTTGACACTTTAGTAATCTCATGAAAAAAATTTATGTAAACAGTCTTTTGGGCCCTGATAGACATTAATTGTTATTATTTTAATTATGATTCTAACCTTAAAGTTTATAAAACATTTATTCTTTAAAATTTATCAAGCTTATATAAAAAATATTGAGGATAATTATTATGAATGACAAAATTTTATAAAAAGAAAATTTGTAAACTCTAAAGTAAAAAATAAGTCAATATAAAAACAAATGTTTTCTAAAGCAAAATAAAATGTAAATTAAGTTACAAGTGTACTCTTATGGGATTTATCAGATTTAAGCCCCACATAAATGATATATATTTTAAAAACTAGAGAACTAAAATTAAAATATTAAATGATTAAAGATTTGATGCTACAATCATGAATATTAAATATTTCATTATTAATTTTAACATGACTCAAGTTAAAGGATTAAATAATGATAAGCAATATTTAAAAAAAATCCTACTTACTGCTAATAATGGTTCAGAAGTCATACGTCCTAAATATTTTTTCTTAATCTCTTCATTACCAAAAAGAATCACAGGCATTTCTGCTAAACTATTTGCCAAAATGGCAGTACTTATCCCAGAACATCCATAAGCCAGTTCTTCCCCAGTAATACATTCATCAAGACAGCTTAATTCACTTCCACCTAACTTTTAACTGTAATATATTATTAAACATTTTTTATCTACCATATTTTTGAGGTATATGAACATTTAAAAAGCCTAGTTTCCAAGCTTTTTTTATAATATCCATAGGATATTCACCAGTTTTATCATGATGGGAGGCTTTGGGAATAATTTCTTCCAATGAAAATTTTCGGGCTAAGTTTTGAAATTCTTTCTGATCATCATTCAAATCTAAATACAAAATAATCGATATATTTTAATTATTTATACCAAATCCAATCTCTTTTTTAGTTCCTTTATTTGCAGAAAAGAATCTCAAAATTTTAAAATTGGTCTTTAACGAAGAACATATGATTTTCATTATGAATGGATAATTACCTATAGAAGATTATTACAATTATTATAGCTAATGCTATATCATGCCCAATCGGGTTCGGGTGTGTCTAAACTTTGCATCGAGTAGATTATAATAAATAATTTGGATAGGGCTCTTTAAATTTTTTAGGGGGCTCGAGCTTATGTGCTTGCCCCAATAACGCTACTATGTAGAATATTTTAATAATAAAAATATCTCACTATGTATTGCCATTTTTGAAATAAATATAAAATTCTATTTAAATACTTCACCTTTCACTTTCATTAACTTATTTCTTTTTAATTAATCAAATTTTTGTATAATATTTGCTATCTGGTATTTTTAAATAAGATCATTATATATTTTAATTTTGTGTTTAAATAATTCAAATATTTATTACTTGGTTCTAAAAAATACTTTTTTAATTATCCCTCTAAAAATTTTGTCTTCCAATTTTCCCCAATGGGTGAACCTAAAATAGTTAGTGACATTAAACGGATCCATTTGAGCTGATTAAAACAGCTAATTTAATTATTCAACAATATTACGCAAGACTGTAGATTTTTCTCATAAATGGCCTAAATATTTGGACATCTAATTTATGGCTAAGATTCAATTTGTTGTTTTAAAATGGGATCATATTAAGCCATTTGGTAGTTAGGTGCTCGTATGGTTGGAATTGTCTTACCCAGTTTTCATAACATGATCAGCTGTCACGGTGTTACTTCAATATTTTGATTTTCTAATAAGTCAGATTATTTATTAGGTATGACCAATCTTTCAAATAATAGAAATAATCTAAATGACGAAGAAATCTTTAATAGTATGTAAGTTTTGTGATATTAATATATTTTCACTGATGTTTTAGATATATATAAGCTCTCAAATATTATTAACACAAATTTGGATGAAGATTCATTGGCAATATGTTATCAATTGATTAAAAATGGTATAAATCCTGATGCTCTTATTAAGGTTATCCAAATAATCAAATCCAATGAATGATAGTTAGCGATAAAACATGGATTTTTTAGATTTTAAACTCCCTACACCTATTTATAAGTTTGATAAAAATGACCTCCAACATATATATGAGCCTTCAGAAGATACCTTCTTATTTATGGATGCTCTTGAACTTGAAAAAAGTTTTATTAAAACTTTAGAACCAACAATTATTCTAGAAATTGGTTCTGGCTCAGGAGTTTTAACAACATTCCTAGCACTAAATTTTGATTTAGATAATACTCATTTTATGGCAACTGATATAAATCCCCTTGCATGTGTTAAAACTAGCGAAACAATTCATTTAAATTATTCCCAATTACCTTTAAAAGTAAAAAGGCCAAAAGTTTCAATTTTTATTGATGATTTAGCACAAAGTATAATTGATAGACTAAATTATAATATAGACATGATAATATTTAACCCTCCATATGTACCAACACATGACATCACAGACAATGGTCAGAGTGGAGGTTTACTTATAAAATATTTTCTGCAAAATTTTATTAGATTTTAACATTATTAACAGATCTTGGGCAGGTGGATTAAATGGCTCTGAAATAATATTCAAGAGTCTAGATAACATTACTCGTTTATTAACACACAATGGAATATTTTATCTTTTACTATGTGCTGATAATGATATTGATAACATAAAAAATTACATTAAAAATAAATTCCACTTTAATTCATGCATTGTATTAAAAAGAAGAGCTATAAATGAAATTTTATATATTGTTAAATTTTATAAAACACATCCTTTTATGTAATACACTATATTGGTTAAAATGAGTTAATAAATATTTATATTTGTCTTATGAATTGAAGCAATCCAGCTTAAAATAGAATGCCAAATATAATATATAATTATAACATACTGATTCACAACTGCCTGTCAACATGGTTGGTAATGGCTAAATTTTGGCTCAATCTTCAAGTGTCTGCAGAAAATTATCCATTATCATTAAGGCATTTTAATTTATTAAGTTTCTTCCAAATTTGAGCTATCCTTTTGGCTAGAAATTTTGCTTAGCTAAAATTGTTTTAAACTGCTTATAATATAGTAATTACCAACTATACCTGATAGTAGTTGAAAATTCATCTATCTATCAATAGTAGGACCCTGTTTATATTTTAATTTTGGAATTATTTTTCATATGATAAATTTTATTAACCCTAGATTATATATTGGGCTTTTGAATACCTGTTAGGCCATTTTCCAGACAGTAAATTTTTTCAAAACGGTTTTTGGGTCATGTTACCAGCAATTTTTTTTATTTCCAAAAAAAAACTTAAATTCTAAAATTAATTTTTTTTATATAATATAATATTTAAAAAAATAACAATTCGGAGCCAGATTTCAAAACGCCATTTATTCGTTATTAAAATCAAACCAGTTTGTTTTCTATTTACTATTAAAAAAATGGGTATCTAGATTGTATTTTTTAAAAAATATTATATTTTAATTCAAGAAATTAACATTTTTTTGTAAATAAAAAATTGATTGCTGGTAACATTACCCAAAAAACGTTCTGTCTGGAAATGGCCTTACATTGTAATTAAAAAAAGGCACATAAGTGGTTGAATAAAAATAAAAGAAATAATTAATGTTATTATAGAATGGTTAAATTCTAATAATTTTAAACAAATATCTCATAAATTAATGAAGTAGGGAGAAAGAAGAAACACTGGTTAAAGGTGGGTGATATACCCTAATTGTAATGGTAATCATAAAATAATTAATTATAAGATTAGATATGGCAAAATATTCACATAAATTTACTCCAATTCCCATATATAAAATAGATAACTATAATTTTTTAACTGAGCATTGTAAAAAATAATCTATTGTAATCTTTCCATTTTCATCGTAACCACTCAATCTTAATTTTGCATAACATTTTCTTTCCAAAATGTCAAAAATCTATTTGAATACTTTTTATTTTATCGATGCTAAATCATAAATGTATCTAAGTTACCACTAAATTTTATAGTCGCATATTCTAACATTGACTTATTTAATCGCTCAAAATTAAAACTGAAATGCTGAGAATCTAAGCTCAGAAAAAATAATGAATTTCCGGAATTTCTTAATTTTCAGATATAAAATGGAATAGCCCGGATATTCAGTTTAAAAGATAAATTGCTCAGAATATATGCAAGGATAAAATATTTTTTCTGATAAATAAAAAGAAGTCACTATTAGCAATTATCGCGGTAGCTCTTATCCCGATATTTATTTTGCATTCATCAATTTCGTTATATATGATTCGTATTGGTTTCGCCTTCTCTATAAGATTTTCGCTGTTATAAATTGACGATAAAAGTATTGCTGTTATATATTATATTATCTATAAAGGGATCTCGATAAAAGCTATAAAAAATTCTGGACATAGTCTTCGCTGAATAGCATGTGAATGTGGGATTTCGACAAATAGTTTATCTATAAAATCAATTCGCGATAAAAATATTGCGAAAATGTGTTTTGTGATAAAAGTTTTACTGTCTTTATTGGGCTGTTAAATTTAATATTTAATTGAGCTTGAAAAAAAAAACCTACAGAAAAAATTGTGATTTCAACTTGAGAAATTTTTTATGACAGAAAAATTGCAAATTTGATTATATATATAAATTAACTTTTATAAAATTAGGTAAAGTTTGATCAATTTATCATCTTTAAACAGATTTTTGCTCAAATTTTTTTTTAAAGATTTAAAACAATGAAATTTTAATAAATAAGTTGAAAATGATCTTTTGACCATGATATCCATCACACTTCTTTAATATTTTGGAAATATAAAAAGAAACCCCTATCAAAAATTCTAAAGCTTCCCCCCACTCCTGTTCTTGTTTTCGTTGAAATTATAATACGCATAAATGATGCTCAATATATTTATTTTCTTCAAAATAAAATTTAAGATAATTGTGCCAATTGTCCTTTTTCTATATTCCATCTTCAAATTCAGGCCTAATCCGGTTTAAAAATACATTATACTTATTTTTAATTTCTATAGCTAATGGCGATTTAAAATATACTAAAAAAAACCGAGCTTAGGGCAGGGCCTGATGGTCTCTGATATTTTCGATGAGCCGATTTTTAAAAACGACAAACTCAATATTTTATCCAAAAAAAATATTATGCAAATGTGAAATTTTGCTCATAGATAACACAAAGGTTCGGATAATCTATTAACGAAATCTCGAGGCTTAAGGCAATATTTCTTCTGGCGGAAATATTGAGTTAGTCATTTTTAAAATTCGGCTCAAGTCAAATCGAGCCATTTTAACAACACCAATCCTATTTCTCCACAAAAAAAAACATAAAATTATATTTACTTAAATCAATATTTCTCAAATTCTATCATATTTAAGCAAAATTTTATTTGTCATAATAAAATGAACGTAATATAATTATCACAATTATTTTTTAGAATATATAAACAAATCATCGGCATAATAAGTTATCACTGGGTAATACACATATTTTTTGGCGAAATAATATTAATAATAAATATAAGTATTAAAAAGTCTTTTAATATAAATCTATAAAAAAAATTTGTATAAAAAACTAAAATTTTGGCTTACATTTAAAAAATAAATAAATAATGATAATAGATAAAATATTAATTTTAAAAAATTGATTAAGAAGGAATGAATGCATTAAAAAAAACAAAAATATGGGAACAATGCTAATAATATTTTGTATCACAATATATCAGGAAGAGGTGAGCCCCATGCTAAAACCAATCCCTGGCCCGATTCCAGCCATGGGCCTTTGTAGACATCCACATTATTATCGATATTATTCAGAGAAGTGCTTAAATTTCTTTTTGTCGTTAAACCATGATCTAACTCGATATCCTTCTCTGTTTTTTCACCAAGTTGCCCAGCCGGTTTTTTATCCTTTAAAGTTTCGATCATCTTGATATCTTTGCCCTTAAAATTTTTGGTTTGGATACTTTGAGTCGATTGAAACATATTTATTTGATTTCCGATTGAAATAGCACCATTAGAATGATTGTTGGGAGTTGTGAGTAAAACTTTTAAAGGTTTGCCGAACGGAGTTAAACCACTCGGATGTGCTTCTAGTGGATAGTAGTCTGGTTCCCGACCCAGATTAAGAATAATAAAATATCTATAAATTTCGATTTATTTTTAAATAAAATAAAGAATCGAATTAAATTTTTTTTAGAGTTTTTCCTGACTTAAATTATGATCACAAAATAGCAATTTTAAAAATTCTTTCGAGTAAAAAAAAAATAAACGTGAATTATTTTATGATCCTTCGATTGCTTGAATAAAAAGTTTATTCTTCATCCTTTAACCCTGCATTCACAGTTAGCGCGAATTCGCGGCGAAGTATACATAAATCAAGGTAAAATTACTATATTTTATATTAGAAATCTGCAAAAATAGGCCCGGTCCGTACCCGGCCCAAAGCTAAGTTTTTTTTAAAAAAATCGGGTTCTAGTTGGGTCGGGCCTAATATTTTTTAAAAAAAATTCGGGCCGGGTCAGACCTTGGAAATTTTATTTAAATATATAAAAAATTTCAATTTTATGTTGAACTTTTTATGTGAAATAAAAATATTTGATTTTATTTGTAAAAACTAGACGCCATATAACATATAAATTTTTTTTGAGTAATTATAAAAATTAATTTCTATATTTAAATAAATTCGGGCTGGGCCGGTTATTCTTTTTTAAAAAAAATCGGACTCGGGCCGGGCCGGCAAAACTTTTTTAAAAAAATTTGGAGCCGGGCCTGGCTTGAAAAATTAGACCGATGCAGATCACTATTTTATATCATATTTTGCATACTTCGCCGCGAATTTGCGCTAACTGTGAATGCAGGGTAACTCATATGTTCTAATAAAATGACTGATAATCGTCAATTAGCCGAGACTTTTTTTATTGGTTTAAATTTAAAAATGGCTCTAAAAGTATTTGAAGTTGATGAATTTACGAGATAAATTTAAAATGGTCTTCGGTGTTTTCGAAGTAGACCATATGGAAAATAATTTGCAATCAAAATATGTAAATAAATATATATAAACCTTAACCTGTATCTAACCTAAAGGGTATTTTCATATTATACGTTCTTTTTTTTAAAAAAAAAATACATAATTGTGTAATTTGACTCTAGTGTTTCAAAGTAAAAAAAATGCGTTTGTCCACCTTATGACCTAAATAAAATCAAAAAAATAATATTAAATAATTTTATATGGTAATAGTTACCCTTTGTCCCCTTCCGCATTTTTCCGAACGAATGAGAAAATATTTTTAGTTATAGCACCATAACTAATATAGATATTTCTGAATTCCTTTTCTCTTCTCAATTTGACTAGGGTCCTAAATATGTTCAGATGTGACATTTTATCATCTTTCTCGGTCTATAATAAAATACCATTTTTTTTAGTATCTAATAGTAACTAACCCGTCAAAGAATGAAGGGTAAATCAGAAATTTCCCCTTTATGAGTGCATCCAAAATTTAAAATATGTTATTGAGTATATATATTTAATACAGACAAATATGAACAAATAATTGGAATATATGTGTAGACATACTATCTACAATATATCAATTTTCATAATATCTCAAAAAAAATTGTCATAATAGGCACAATAAAAAATCAATCAAGCTAGATGTGGGTTTTACATACCTAGGATTAAAATGTTTAGATCATAAACTATGAAATAAAATGTAGTTGAAAAAATTTTTCAAATGTTAGAATTTTTTTTTATAGATATCATTAATAAATAAATATCTTTAAAATAGTAAATTTACAAATAAATTGCAAATATTTGTTCATAGTATGTACTACTTTCATTGACATATTTTATCACAAAAAGGGAATTCCGAATCAATCATCTCTCATCAATTATTAAGATAAATATCTAATTACCTCAAAAAAAATATATATACCCGATGTTCCCAATAGCAAATAAAGGAGAAATTACTGATTCATTCGTTATTCTTGATAATCTATCTGTTAATAAATATAACCCGTATCTCGCAGTAGTAGAAAGATAACAGAAAAAAGGGGTGCGGATGATATTAAAGAGATATACAGGGTAATAAAGATGTATGGACAAAGATTCAACCCGATATAAAATGTTCCGTGAATAAATACGGGTAGAAGAAACAATAGAAAAAAGAATTAAGTATTTTGGAATTGGTTTTTAGTAGTGCTGAATACTAGCGAATTTTTTAAAAAACAACGAAATCAAGATTTTCGCCAAAAAAAAAATCTAGGCGTTGAGATTTCCAATCTCGGGGCTTAGAGGTAACAAGATTTTAGCTTAAATTTTGATTTTTTATTTTAAAAAAAAATCGTCGTAAGTATATGGGAATAAAGGTTAGTTGGGTTATACAAAAAATAAGTAATGATAAAAAGAGGAGGGAGGGGGGACACATACGATATCAAAGATGAATGTTGCCTCGCGAATATAGCATTGGAGTTGAGAAAAAAAATAATATAAGATGATAACTTAGAGTTATAAAAAAAAATCCAAAAAATATACCTTAAAACGGAATGTTTTACTAAAAATAATTAATAGTTAAAAATAAATATATCATAATTAAAAAAAAATTAAATTACTTTTATTTATTTTTTTACTGATAATTTACTGGTATCATAATAATTTTTTAATATTAATTATTGAATTTATTGTTAAATTGAGTTAATTTACTTTACGGCTATCACATTAAAGATAGATATATGAATATGATTTATGAAATTAAAAGAATATCGAAAATATTTTTTCTATCTATCTATCTTCTATCTATCTATCTATCTATCTATCTATCTATCTATCTATCATCTATCATCTTTCCTTTCTTTATATATGTGGCGATAAATAAATAATTTAGGCTCAATTAAAAAAGGTTAAAATATATTTATATTTTTTAAAATTAATTTGAAATATTATATAAATGCAAATTGACATGGGGTAATATGGAAATATTTTCAAAAAGAGTTATTAAATTTGATATGGGTATAATATCTTAGGCACTTAATAAATTCTTAATAATTTCCGTAACCAGTTTAATCACTAAAAAAAATTATTTAAATTGATAAACTAATATAAAAAATTTATTTGTAACTTGAAAGTTTTTTTTGACGTAATCAGGGTTAACGGGTAACCAAGGGGAGTTAGATGTGGTAAAGCCTGCGTTCGGAGTGGAATCCCATTGCATTGGAGATCTTTCTGGATCTCTGGTATATAATTTGTATCTTTCCTTCGTAATGATTGAAAAATATAATTATTTTTGGACACTATAAACAAAAGTCGAGAGCGGAGGGGGGGGGGTCCTTTTTTATGGGGCGGAGGAGCCCCCAAGTTTTTTAAAATTTTATTGCGTAAATCGTTTACAAATAAATTTTAAATCGAATCCCAGATAAATATAGGAACCGACTAGAATCTCACTTTCAAAATTTATAAGAACTAAACCATTTAAAGTTTTCGAAAAAATGGTCAACGGAAGTGCAAGTAATTCCCTTTTTTAATCCTCCAACCTTTAAACGTTGATCTAAAGAGCTTAGTTAAATGAATGTTTGATCTCAAAAAACTAAATCTGTATGCAAATATAAGATTAAGGTTCAATTCTAAGAAATTTGATTATTTTAAAATTTCTATTCGTCTATTTAGAATCAATTTCCTCTCATATTTATTAGGTTATAAAGAAAACTGATTAAATTATCTAAATTGGACCATAATAAATATTTTATCGAATGTCCAGTAATATTACACGAGATAATTACGTATAAACTTGAAACAATTATAATTTTTTAGAAATTATAACTTAAGACATTTATCTATTTGAAATTCTAAAACAAAAAAATTTTTATATTTCAAAAGAAAAAAGTAAAAAACGAAACAAATTAATTCAATTTAAAAAAAAAATTCAATAGTTGTTTTTTATTTTACGCTTCTGAAAAAATACTTTTTTGATCCGAGCCTCTCCCAATAAAATATTTTATATATGGTTATTTTACCGGCCCCATATTTAAAGCGAAAGAATCTTGAGTTTGAGTGAAAGGAGGCACGTCAATGTTTGTCATTCCTAACTCGTCTCCATAATAAACGGTCGGAGTACCTGACGTTTGATTTATTATTTAAAAAAAAAAAATTATCAATTACTTTGAGCCAAAATAATTTATTTTATGAGTCTGTTCAACCATTTTTTTTATAATCAAATAAGAAATACAAAGATCCTCAAGATAGCAAGGAACTTTGTGATATAAACATAATTTGTAAAACTTAAAACTTCTCTAACAATGAGATTTGGGGAGTAGCGAAATATATTTTACTGCACTCTGCATGAATTCTCATATTAATAATATGACTAAATAAGAATAACACATTTTTGACGTATAGTAACAAGTATCGTAGAAAAAATATATCACTTTTGACGTATAGTAACAAGTATCGTAGAAGGAATATATAATTTATTTTATTTCAAAACCTTTATTTTTCCTCATAAAAAAAAGAATAATAATAATATTTATAAAACAAAAAAAAAAGTATTATATAATTATTATTTTTTTTATATCTAATAATCAATAATTTTTACTCCAATCAGATGTATACAATCCATCTGATTGACGTTTAATGCGAATATATGTTTTATAACATACTAGGACACACATAACTACCAATATTATAAGCAGAATCAATTGGAAAAAACTCGACACAATCAAAAGAAGCCATAAACATTGACCTTTTTTTAAAAATTGTATACTGCAAATTATAAATGATATTTACAGAAATAACAAAATTTAATTTATAAATTTCTTTTTATTTTGTACAATCGGGGTATTTCCAATTTCTGTATAATAATAACAATAAAGGAACATAATATTATTTGAAATACATAAAATTTCGCTATTAACTATATTAAATCAAAATCATTAAAAATCGTTAAATAAATTCCTATACTCTACTGAGGGTTGTAAGAAACAAAAATCTTTATAAATATAGTAATTTTCAGGGAAGATCCTATTTAAAAAAAATTAAACTTTTCTTAATGATCTGATCCGGTTCGTATTTGGACCAGCGAATTTGTATCCTTTAAAAAAATTATACATTTTACTATTATTTTTCTTTTACCGGGTAATAATAGTATAAGCATGTGGAACACGTCAGTCATATTCTCACCAAATCTGGTCGCGAATCGATGTCGATCGTGATTACTGGTCTGTTAAACCATTAGCGGACATATAAATAAATAAAATTATGTGCTATATATATATGTATAACATAAAGTAATCCATATTTTAGAAGAAAAGCTAAATATTTGTGTTCAAATTAAACAGAGTTGCTAAAACTGGGAAAGTAAGAAAGGCGGTTTAGGATTCAAAAATATTTTTGGCTGTTTTGTTAATTATCACGATTCGATTGCGCGGAATATTTTGACGATACAAATAAAATTTATGTGCTATATAAAATACAATTTCCGGTTAAAGGGACAAAGCGATACATTTAAATGCCACTAATGTTTTTAATGTATGAATAGTCATTTTATTAATAGCCAGGTGCAGAGTGTCCAACAGAACTTATATAATATTCTAATAAACTCAACCTAAAAAAAACTATCCGATTTTTAATAAAACGATTCAAACAGGTTATAATAGGATTTTATTCTATAAATATCAAATAATGTTAAAAAAATGACATAATATATTTTTTAATTGAATCTTCTATAAAATCAATGGAAATAATTTTTTTAAAAAAGACGCATTCTGAGCGTGCCTATATATCCTCGAAATCTTATATAAAACTTGTTATATAATTGATGAACGCGATTATATATAATTAGCACCCTTCCTTTAGATTGAAAAATAATCCAGCCCTCGAAGACATTTTTTTTAATCCTTATTGCAAATGGAAAAAAAATTCCATAATGGATATTAAAAATAACCGTTATTCTTGTATATTAGAGGAAAGAAGAAAATTTGAAAAAACCCGAAAAAAAAATCATTTTATGGATTGAAATATATTCTACCACACCAATAGAAGAACATGATTGGACAAAGTTATATTAGACGATATTTGAATTACAAGCTACTAGAGATCTATAGGAATACCCTGTATAACAATAATATTTACTGCGCTTGAAATTTCATTACAAATTATTTGATCATGAGCCAAAACTTTCTAGAATTTCCTAACCTAAACCTAGAGATCTGTATAATTTTTCATCATAAAACCTAAACCAAACTTATATATCAAAAGGTTCGACACTCTGGTCACCTGTTCCACAACATAAAAATATGTTATAATCGATTTCTCTTCGGGTATTAAGAGAAAAATTAAATTATAAGGGTTCATTCAAACTCAAAAAAATAAATAAAATAAATAGAAGGTTTAAATTTAAAAAAAGGTAAGGCTAAAATATGTAAACCTTTAATTATTATTTAAATTTGAACGTACCACTCTTCAAAGATAAAAAATAAATAAATAGCGTATACTAATTTTTACTCACCACCCAGTTAGGCCAACGTTTACTATAATCGATAATCTGACTAGATCTACTGCTATAATTGGATTTTACATCATTTCCTTTCATTTTTTTTTAAAAAAGAAGAATTTAAGTTATGAATGCTGTCGAGTACTACTATTAAGAATCTATCTTTTTTTTAAAAAAATGTCTCAATAAAACCTTCAGGAGCATGCCTATTAGCAACGGCTACAGACTTAGTTGGCGCAGTCATGTATTTCATCCAGGAGTCGACCAATTTCATGGTACCGAAACCGCCTAGGTGTTTAGCATCGGCTCCCACAAAGTCAAAGTTAAAAGGGAAATCGGCCCCACTTTCATCAAAGTAAACCATTAAATTTTGGGCCTTATCGTAGTCTTCGATCATAATCGCCCTTTAATAAATAAAATATATTTTCTTTGGATTAGTGTATGTCTGTTAGATAATCTAAATTAAGCCCAGCGCAAAAAATGGACCAGAAAATTTAGTAAATTTTTTTTTAAAAAATCATCATTTAATTACATTTATTGCGTATTATTCATAATAAAGTCGAAATTTTTCGTCAAATCTCTAGGTGTAAGGGGGGGGGGGTGTAGTTTATATGGTTCGATTTTTTTACAAACGACCCAATATTATAGCCAAAAAATATTACGAAAACCTGGAGATTTTTTTTCAAAGATGGCAGAAAGGTTTGGACATCTCTTAACGAAATCTCGAGGCGCGCAATATTACTTTAGCGAAAATCTTAATCAAGTCTTTTAACAAAACTACCAGGGTGTTATTATACTATAGAGATTTCACTTAATAGTGCTGGGGACATTTTCGTAACTCCTGATGACTTTTACGAACTCCGCAATCGTGGTTATCGTTTTAGGTTGATGCAGCACGTATATATGCTTCAGGTAATTGAATTCGTCCTTAATCAAATATTATATTTATAATGTAGTACAATGCGAGTTCTAAATACTCAATTTAATATAAATAATACTATCAGACTTTTTTTAAGAGCTATATGTTTAAAAAATAACTCATGTGACAACTACTATAATATATGTGCGCCTTGATTATTGCCTCTGTATAACTATTATAGTAGTTATTTTTGGGAGTTATGTAGGTATCTTTATCATGTAAATAGTCTCTTTTTAAAAAAATAATAATAAGTAACTCATTTTTCTTAGTTAACTATAGTTACTTATGAAATGTAACTTTAATACAACACACGAAGTCTCGGCTACATTTATGACCGTTTTACCAAAAATAATCGAAAAGATCATGAATTTATTGTTTTTATTCCTTTATCCGCAACCTCCCTTTAAACTCTTTTATTCTATATATTTTCCTCCTTTTTCGACTTACTGTCTAATCTCCTTAGATTGAAAGATAGGGAAAACTTTAGATGCCGATATAGAGCCCTCGTCATTAGTGGGTTCATCCAAATATCTTAAATCCTCGTGCAAGTTTGAAACGGCATCTATCCTGAAGCCATCCACACCAAGATCGAGCCAGAATCTTAAAACGTTCTTTTTTAAAAAAATAAAGAGAGAATTGTTAATATGGTTTCTAGCGAATATACCGTAGGGTGGCTATATCTACATAATAATAGAGCATTTTAAACTCGGAATGGAAACCGTAACCAAAAATTCGCATTTAAAAAATCTGCAAAAACTTGTTAAAATTTAAAACCCCCCTATTAAAAGAGTTTGAAATCGAGAACCAGAGCTTACTGAATAGCGCCAAATCCAGTTCCAAACTCTGGGTGAATTTAAAAAAATTTAAATGTGGGCGGCGGGTTAACCCGCCCATTGTAGACTTATAAAAGAAATACTGTAAGAAATAGAATTCTGACTAGTTTTATCTAGCCCAACTCAAAATTGGGAAATATGGATATAAATTATGAATAGAGTAGGGATTAAGTTAAGCGCATAGCAGTGATGATACCTTCATTTCTTCCAAAACTTTAGGATTTTCGTAATTCAAATCTGGCTGTTCCTTCAAAAAGGCGTGGTAGTAAAATTGGCTCCTTTGAGAGTTCCACGTCCAAGCCGAACCACCGAACTGACTGAGCTGTTTATTTATTATTTTTTTGATATTTATAAATAAATATTAAATTTTGCTTCATGTGCATGACTATTGCATAAAAAAAGGATAAGCTTAATTCAAAAATGAACTAAAAATTGAAGAAAAAAAAAATTCAAGTAATCTCTCATAATGTAACTTTGCGTTTAACTCTTTCTCACTTTCTTTCTTTCCTTTTAAATACCTTTTTTAAAATTAAACACCAGTTTTCTTTAAACTATTAGGGTACATCGGACATATTTACTTAAGGTCCCCACCCAAATTAAAATTTTTTCTTTTATTGATCTGATCCTTTAAAAAAAATAATTTGACTCCGATATCCCGAAAAAAAACGGCTAAAGAACCATGTTAGTCAAATTAAAATAATTTTTTTTCAATGACAACGCAAATAAGTATCAGCGTTAAAAGGGGGGTAAAAAATTTACAAGCGAATTAGGTAAAAAAAAACAAAATACGTTATTAAAAATTATGCCAAGGTCCGACTACGACCCGCAATTAAAAATCTGAAAATCAATGTTTTAGCCAAAACCAAATTAGGAAAAGATGCCTTTAACCGGTTAGAAAAATGAGATACCAATAAAGATTTAGATAAAGGAATAATTCAGTTCGGTTCTTCCATAACTAGTTGATAATGTCGATACGGTTTGCATCGAGATTAATGCGAGTTTTTATTATTTATTATTCTTAAGCAACATAGTGGCGATTTGAATGATTCGAAAAACTTATAGCATTTAACCCAATTGTTAGGTGGTCCGATTTTTCCGTCCTTCATCAATTTCCCGTTCTTCCAAACGTAGTAATCCGTGTACGGTTCGATCTCCTGGCAACTCAGGTTAAACCAATTGTGCTCTCTGCTCGTATGGTTGGGAACGAAATCCATTATTATCTTGAAGTCTGACGAATCGTTTTCCAAAAAAAAAATAAATATAGATAACTTATAAAAATCCTTTTTTATTTCCTACGCTATAATATGGATGATAAATTTAAATCGCGTAACCTCTATTATGTGCTTCAGTTACGAGGTCTTTAAAATTGTCGAGGTCGCCAAACAGGGGATCGATATCCACGAAATTGGCTATGTCGTACCCAAAATCTTTCATGGGAGATTTGTAGACGGGTGTCAACCAGATCGCGTCGATTCCAAGGTAGGTAAAATAATCTAATTTCGATATTATACCTAGTGGCAAGTAAACGTAAAAATGTTAAATCAAATTAAGTCACACGTTCACCATTAAAATTTTTTATTTTTTTTAAAAAAGGTGGAGGGGGGGGGGAGGGGGTTATGAAGTTTTAACTTTATATACTATAACAAAATAGGTTTTAAAAGTTAAAAATAATTGGCAAATGAGCTGTGTTAAATCATAAATATAAAAAACAATATTGATATCTTTACCTAGCTTCATTATATAAACAAAATTTCTTCTTAAAAGAGGAGGGAGAGGTTAACTGAAGTTACAACTTTGTGTACTATAACAAAATAGGTTTAAAAATAATAAATTTAAAATAATTGGCAAATGGGCTTTTTTAATTCATAAATATAGCAAACAATATTAATATCTTTAACTGGCTTCATTATATAAACAAAATAGGAATTTTTTTTTTCTCAAAAACTGTGTCCAAAAATATAAAAAAATTCGATTAGCAAAGAAACTTTATCGAAGAATTAAAATTTTAAAACTTCTGAAAGTTATAAAACTTTTCGAATTTTATAAAAAATATTTTGGACATAGCCTAAAAATAGTTTTAAGGTAATAAAATTTGAGATTTAAAAAACAATAAATACAATATCTCAAGAGACCAGTGGAACCGAGCAAGGGTAACCATTCGGGCCCGGTTTAGTTGTTTTATATCTTAATTTGATCATTCTAAGGCTAATTTTTCCGCAGGCAGTTAAAAATTTTGTAATAAATACTGCTTTTTTAATAATGCGCGTATACATTATTGTATCATTTAGGTCAAGAAAATGAGAAATTAACGCGAATAACCATGAATTTTAAGCCAATCCAAACAGAATAAATGACTTATAATTTTAATAATCACGCTAAATGGTCAAAAATTATAAAAATCATGTTTCAAGGATCAATATCGTATAAGATAAATAATAATTTTTAAAATTTGTTTTTAAAAAAACTATAAAATGTTATAAAATAATTTTAATTTTAAAAAAATAAATAAATATATACTATTTGCCTAAAGGCAAAGGACTCGTTTAGAGAAACCGCGATAATGGTTAAGCGATGCGAAACGATAGCATGCTTTCAACATTATATATTTTATCATTTAAGAAAAGGATTAAGATGTAGCGCTATTTTAGCGGTTAGTATAAACGAGGCCTAACCCTCCCATCATAGTTAGCGCGAATTGGTGCTAACTGTAAATATAGGGTAACCCCTCATTCCAAATTAACGCGAATTTGGGGCGGAGAATATAAACATACAGCGTATTTTATATAATTCGCCGCGAATTCGCGTTAATCATGAATGAATGCTATATATATATCAAGAGGTGTTTGTAGCGGCTCGAAAGCGCAATTATAAAAGATAGCAAGGCTAAAAAATCGAGCGTTGTAAAAATATATCCAAATTTTTTGTTATTAATCTTCCTTTTTTTCTTACCAGCGCTGTCTGACAAGGGGAATGAATTAATTGCGTTTTTTAATCTCAAAATCTCAAGGAGGCACCATCTTAGATAACACACCACATAGTCGGTGCCAATTTTATAATTTTCCTTCTTTCTTCCTATTTTAATCATATAAATTTATATTTGGAATCTTAAATGATGCCAATTAAGGCCACATGTGGCAAATGATAGATAATCTTTTAAAAATGATATAGCATTTTTTTTGCCAAGTAAATGATTCTGCTTGAATAAGCATATTATAAATTCTGGAGTTATGCAAACACATCCATTGTAGCAAGTAAATGATTCTGCTTGAATACGCATATTATAAATTCTGGAGTTATGCCAACACATCCAATTTTACGAGCCTATAATTTATTTTAAATATTTTTGATGCATCGTTCACCATTCGTTGCGATGGTTGAATATATCATCATAATTAACAACTCTTTGTTGCATATTTTATTTATTCATTTGATTTTGAAAGCTTGTTCGGTATTCCAAATTGTGTGATCTTTTTTTTAGAGTTGAAAATGACTTTGGGGTTTTCCACTGTCCAGAGATGTGAGTGTTATCGAACTTATTTTTAGTAACTTCCTCAAGGTAAATTTACACTTTCATGAATCATGAACCAATGAATTTCGTTATCCAATCTAAAATGGAGCATTGAAATCGATTCACTCCACGAGGGGTCTATGGAAGTAACCTGCAAGAAAAAAAAAGATGGGGCAGATCAAAAAATGTGAACCTATGCCATGCAATTTCTAACGATAATTGGATTCGTAATCTGCAATAATGCGCCTTTAATTGATACCAAAATATCATTTTGTTAAAAAAATAATAATATTGATCTTGAAATATGTATAAATTGCTGTTCGTTATAATGTAGCGGGCCGGCTCTGCTACCAACCTGCGGAACATTCTTTTTCGGAGTTTCCGGGTCATCTCGAAATTATTTTTAACAAACTCGTAAAATGCAATTTGTTTTCAAATTTTTCGGTTTCAACCCTTAATAATTTTTTTTTTATGAGTAGGGAAACGATATAAATTTGTCAAATTATCAGCTTTAAAAATCTCGGGCCGGCCAGTCAAAATATTGTTAGCGCAATTTGTTTGGCCAGGCCTAAATATCCGGATATAGGTGGAGTCTAGTTTGATTTAATTTCGATATTTAATTGCTACTTACCCTAGTTTAAGCAGATTTTTGAACTGACACACTACAAGTATTTGTTGACATTGTTATTATTCTTATTCTTATTTTTGATTTTGTTTTTTTTCCCTTTTTTATTTTTTAAAAAAAATTCTTTAATTTTTTAGGCTGTTTAACCAAAGCTAAATAGCCAAGGCCAACTAACAGCTGTTTAGTAATGATTCGAATCAAGACACGCACCCATAATATAAAGTGTAATTTTTAAAATAAGCTTATCCAAAATTTATCTGTTTATAAATTTTGAATCATTTTTTTTTTAAATTTCGTATTAATTTTAAAAAAAAAATGTAAAAATTTTAAATTTTATAATTCTCGCCTATGATTTAGCGATTAAGCAGAATTTGCGATTAACGCAAAATTAACTAAACAGTCAAAAATTTTCTTTTAGGGGGATCTGATCTGAATATTACAAAAAAACGGTCCAATTAGCACTATAATATTAAGGTTAATATTACAATTTACTTCTAAATTTATGAAAATGGCAAAAAAAAATGCAAAATCTGCCTTACTCTGCATTAAAATGATAGAATACATTTTCTCTAAAAGAGGTTGGCAGTTTTTATTTGAATTATCAACCCTAAGAGCAACATACTGTTTTTTTATTTGTCCACAAAGGAGTCATTTATATTTTTTTTATTCGCATCATAATTGGGGAATGTTTTAAAATTTTTACATAATTTGACACTTTTTTGGTGTTTTTTAAAATATTCGTTAAAAATAAATCTTTTAAAACTATATAAATAATTTATAAATTTATCAAAATTTGTATTGGGGTTAAATTCAAATTTGCATTGCCTCAAGAAAAATATTATATAATAAATTAGATTTTCATATATTTATAGTCAATAAATAAAATTCATAAATTATTATGCAGGATTAGATGGTACAATATAAAAACCAAGAACTCGAATAAAAAGTGCTTTTAATATGGAAATAAAATGATACTATTCATATAATATTATTAAAATATAAACCTTTTAAATCCCCAACTCCATCTCCATTGCTATCTTTAAAAGATCTTGGATATACTTCATATATTATTGAATGTTTCCACCATTTGTCAGCATCACACGTCTTTTTATGAACTACACTAGTAATGGCATTTGAAAATAAAAATAACCATATTGAAAGGATGGCTATGAGGAGTGCAATACGTGATCTGACCCAAAAAGGTCTTTTACAAAATAAAAGTAACTCATCCTTTTTCATACCAGCATATGGTAAAAGTAAAGGATCAATAGAATTACGATCAGTAATAATATGTGATGATAGTTTCCTCATTTTAATTAAAAAATTTTAAAAATTTTTTTACCTCATTTCTCATTTGCAAAACTCGTTCAAATTTATTTATATATAGGATAAAAGTATAAATAACATATGTTATTTTTGATTTTACTAAAAAGATAAAATCAATGAAAATATAAAAAATGTATAAATACATTTATATGATAAAATAATATAAATTTATTTTTAATAGTTTTACAATAATTCAAGATTTAATTATAAAAGGATATTAATAGATTAAAAGGAGAATTTATTAAAGTTCTTGATTTATACAGAAGCTATTAAACCTCTTAAAAATGGCATTATTACTCCTTTACCCCCCTTCTAAACTTTTCTTCCTAAACCCGTTACAAATTAAATTAGTAAAAAGGGAAATCTTTATCAAAATTAGCAAAATAATAAAATCTATATTTAGCTAAATTCCAAAAGAATAATTAAATCAAACTTTCCTCCCTCAGATCCCCCTTATTTCTATGACGTTCTTGCGTCATACCACTCCTTCCCCTTTGTAGACATGAAATATAATTATGCCTTGACTAGTATGAATAAAATATATATATTAATTTGCATATAATGATAAAAAAATATATCTATGGTGAGAAGATAGATGAAAGATTATAACTTGTTTTTTGTGATAATTTGAAACTAATAAAAAATAAAACAAGATTTGTCAGTTCTCTCGTTATAGGTTGCCCCATCCTGCTAAATGAATTTATCTTGTTGACAAAAGCGACTATATATACCTAAATGATCCGCAAAATAGATAAAATCTTAAAATCGCCACGAAACTATAAAAATCTTAAAATTTGTTTCTTAATTTTATTAATTATTAATTTTATGCTATTTTTGCCGTCAAATCGTTTTTTCTTTCTGAAAAGAATGAAGGATTTGCCTGCGAGTAAGTAAAAAAATATTTTATTATTATTAACTAACTACTTTTTCTCTTTTTACACATGCTATATATATACTATATAAAATTAGAATATATATGATTAACCAAAAAACAAAAAATAAGTTTATGAAAAATAATAAGTAATATAAGTTGAATTTGAATTTAACAAAAAATAAAAGTATTATTTGAATAAATATAATGAATGTACGTTATATAATAAAATATATTACTATTCAATAACCAATATTTTAATTTATTAATTCCTATAATGTAACACTTTCCTTTTTAGCTTTTACCTTTTCGGGTCATAAGTAGGGTTGCCATTCAAAATTTTCAAATTGCGGGATAAATTTAGTATTTTGCACGAGAAATATGGAAATTGCGGTAGAAATAAAAAATTTGCTAAAAAAGGCCAGCAAGATCCCGACCGGGCCAGGATTTTAAATTGATTTAATTATCCGCCTATTATTTTTTATAATTAGTTTATATAAATACAAATTCGATAACTATTTTTCAAAATAAAATTACATCTTGATTTATTAAAATATATTAATTTATAAAAAATAACCAACGATCCTTTTTAAATATAAAAGAATTAAACAAGAAAAAATTTTATAAAAAAAACAAACAATTTTAATTTTACAATGTAAAAAATATATTTTATGCGAATGTCCCGCAAAACATCCGCAATTAGAAATCTACCTTGTGTGTGTGTATAACATTATAGGAATAGGCATTTAATTATCACGTATCACGTTTAAATACATAATAAGGTAATATTGTACTCATTTCAATGATAATTATTTTATTTATTATTGTTCATTCACATTATTATAATCAGTGGAGGAGAGTGTATCTACATCCATTGCAAAATAAAAATATTTTCCAAAAATAAGAAATAATACAGATGCAACTACAGTTGCAGCAATTGTAATCAGTTAACCTGTAACAACATTCACCGAGATACTTATCATTACAATGTGGGTATAATCTTTCACCATAATATTTAACGACTCCAAGATAAATGAAAACTTTACTTGTAGAACAAAAATGAGCAAGGATATCATCAATGTTTTAAAACCTGAGTTCAGGAGGTCAATTCTTGACGATTTGAAAGATGGGCATACATATGCAATTCTAACAGATGCATCTAATAAGGGAAATATTAAAATATTTCTTTTAATCCTTCGCTATTTCAACAAAATTAAGGACGTTTCAAGAAAACTATTAAATTTTTTCTCCTCAAATAGTGAAAAATCCAAAGACATAACTAACCATATAATGGTAAATATAGCAAATTCGGGATTATCAATAAATTGCATGTCAACTTTCTGATCTGAAAATGCCTCAGTTAATGTGGAAAAAAACAAGGGTGTATTTACAGAATTGAGTCAGCACAATGTTGGTTGCGATATGTTCCTTATACCCGCCATCTATAGAATTTTAAAATTATATAAACCTTTAAATATTTCTTAAATAAAGATTATAAAAGCTGTCCTAACATTTTGAAAATTTTTTTCAGTAATGAATGGCAGAGGTATATTTAGGAATGATTCACATGTAGGAAATCTACTACATATTGTTAATGTGTAGCTGCAATCAGAAGTCTTGACAAAGATTCACAAAATTATGCTGCAGATGTGTTAATCTTTACAGTTAAAAATTGACAATAAATTTTATGGCGCCATTGCTAAAACTTAAAATGTTCAAATATTTTAAAAATACCGATAGACATTGATGTCTTGTTTGAGAATATTGTAATCCTCTCTATTTTTGATTTACAATGTAAAAAATATATTTATTTTATGCAAATGTATAAATAAAAAAATATGGAAGATTAAATATAATGTTAATTATATTTTATTTGAGATTTAAATAATGGAATTAAACGTTTACCGTCGTTATTGAGATATTTATAAAATTCCTTGCATGACATATTATAAATTTGTTTAACCATTAGCTCGGCCTCTAATGTTGTTAAAGCAATCCGTTTTCCAAGCAGTCCTCATCAGGCTAAAAATGCGCTCGGATGAGGCATTAGAATGAGGTAAGGAGAAGACATACTCGCATTTTTTTTCCAAGCATGTATTGTTATTACGAAAAAATTCTACCCGTTTCTTCTCTGCTTTTAGACACTTTAACTTTAAGTATTCTGGCGAATCATAAAAAATAGAGAGAATTACAATCTCCTCAAACAAGACATCAATGTCTTTCGGTATTTTTAATATATTTATTAAATTACAAAAACCATCAATTGACGGTTTCTGTTCCAAGGTCATATTTATAAATTTGTAAATAGAGTTATTAAAATCAAATTTTGATTGTAAATATTCTAAAATTGTCTGAATAAAAATATCTGCTTCATTTAAAAATGTATTAATTAGAGTATTATTTGAACATAATATTTTTAGCAATAGCGCCATAAAATTTATTATAAATTTTTAACTTTAGAGATGAACAGTAGCATGATTTTGTGAATTTTTATTAATAAAGAATATTCTGATTGCAACTGAATATTAACTGCATGTAGTAGATTTCCTACATGTGAAACTAATCCCAAATATGCTTTTGCCATTTCATACTTGAAAAAATTTTTCAAAATTTTAGGACAGCTTTTATAATTTTTATTTAAGAAGTATTTTTATAAGGGTTTGTAAAATTTTAAAATTCTATCGATGGCAGGTATTAATGATAACCACCTGATAGGTACATATCGACAACTCACACCATTCCAAGTGAGACCACTCCACCAACCAGGCGCGTACGCAGGAATTTGGTCTGGGGGGGGGATAATAAAATTTTTTAAGAAATATTATTGTTAATTAAAAATACTAAGCATAAATATATTAGGATTAATAACTTTTCTAAGACACAATTTTAAACTAATGTGAATTAAAAAAATTATATATATAAACCGGCATTGAAAAACTATAAAATAAATGTGAATTATAAAATATAAAGTGAATAAACTCACGATATGAATCATTTAAATGACCCAAAATTGAAATTTGAAATTTTTGAGCTTTTAAAATATATAAAGTAAAAAATTTAAATGTTGGAAATATAAATTAATACACAAAAAGTTTCTTAGGGAAAATTGTATGTTTTGAGCTAATTTTTCCATTATCTATCCTTGCTTGGCGTTAAATACCTATGAATATTCAAAAGATCCAAATCATTCAATCTACTTTCCGATGTTGTATTTCAACGGTATGTTTTTCACAGACTTGCAGGCCCGGCCCCCGAGCCGGACCGTATTTTAATTTTTTTATATACCCGGGCCGGGCCTGTAATTTTTTTTTAAAAAAACACCTGGGCTGGGCCTTTAATTTTTTTAGAAAAAGTATCCAGGCCGTTCTTTCTTTCTTTCTTTCTTTCTTTCTTTCTTTCTTTCTTTCTTTCTTTCTTTCTTTCTTTCTTTCTTTCTTTCTTTCTTTCTTTCTTTCTTTCTTTCTTTCTTTCTTTCTTTCTTTCTTTCTTTCTTTCTTTCTTTCTTTCTTTCTTTCTTTCTTTCTTTCTTTCTTTCTTTCTTTCTTTCTTTCTTTCTTTCTTTCTTTCTTTCTTTCTTTCTTTCTTTCTTTCTTTCTTTCTTTCTTTCTTTCTTTCTTTCTTTCTTTCTTTCTTTCTTTCTTTCTTTCTATATATTTTAAAACCAAATATTTAAAATCGCCATTATTAGCTATAAAAATCAAAAATAAATATAATTTATTTTAAAAAAATTCGGGCCGGGCCTGAAAATTTTATTTTCAAATAAGCCGGGCCCGGGCCTGAAAATTTTTTTTAAAAAAAACCCGGGCCGGAAAAAATTTTTAAAAAAAATCTGGGCCGTGTCCTGCATGCAAATAGTACATCTGCAAGGCTCTGTTATTCTTCTTAAAAAGAAAATGTTCTCTCATTAGTTTATTAAAAAGCTGCTAATATATAACCATTTTAATACATTGGGGGTATAATCTAAAATATGTTTGAAATAAAAAGCATCCATAGCATTTTTTGGGACTGTATCAACCATAGTTAATCTTTTAATCATAGTTATTCAGCTAATAAGGCATCATAAGATATTTTAACATCTTTATGATAAAAATCTAACAAATATTTATATTTTTTTTATATTACCATATGA